CATATACACACAACATTTAAAAAAAAAAAAAACCCAAGGCAGGCAATGCCTGCGTAGCCTGAGTGAGCCTGAGGCTCACTGCTGCATTCACCTGTACATGTACACAGATGCACACACACACACACAAACACATACACACACATGGACACACATACACACACAGACATACACGGACACACATGGACACATGCTATAAGGAGATTCATTCATACAAATACTGAGAAGAGAAAAAAATGGCAAAGAAGTCACAATGAATTAACTCATACTGACAGCAAACAGCCTCCCTCCATGGCCACAGTGAGACCAGACTCATTTTTCCAAGCAGAAAATTCCCTTCCCTAAATGAGTATCTGGAGACCTGGAGCAGGTGAGGTAGCTCCCCCAAAGGCCGTTGAAAAGTGAGGCTCTCTGGAGGCTTCAAGGTTCCATCTCATCTGCATCTGAGAAAAATCACAATTCTTCCCAGAAATGGGCAGGATTTCCCAGTGTCTGGCATCCCAATGGAGGGTCATTCTGACCGCACGTGAGCTCTGCCCCTCTGTCACTCACTTATCTTGCTGCTAGGACCTGACAAGAAGCAACTTACAAAAAGAAGGGTTAATTTGAGTGTACAGCTTGAAGGGATACATTCCGTCATGGAGGAGAAAGCAAGATGGCAGCCCATGCATACATGCATACATACATACATACATACATGCATACATACATACTGCATAGTGGCAGCAGTGTGGGCAGGGCTCTGCACTTACTCACCTCTTGTTCCTTAGCTGAACAAGCAGGAGAAACATTGTTGACAGAGGTTTCTATCCCGCCCGGTCTCACAGCCATTTAGTCCCAAACAAATACACAAAGGTCTACATTAATTGTAAACTGATTGACCTAATAGCTCAGGCTTCTTATTAATTCTTCCTTACATCTTATATTAGTCCATTATTCTTGCTGTGTTAGTCATGTAGCTTGGTACCTTTTTCAGGAAGGCAATCACATCTTGTTTCCTCTGTGTCTGGATGACAACTGCAGACTGACTCTTTTCTCTTCCCAGAATTCTCCCATTCTCTTCGCCCCACCTATACTTCCTGCCTGGTTGCCCTACCTATACTTCCTGCCTGGCTACTGGCCAATCAGCATTTATTTAAAATATGTGTGGACAACTGCATCCACAGAAAACCTGAGAGCTTGGGAAGAAATTCTAGACACAAAAAGAACAGAGTTAAACACAGCTGCCTGGTAACATTTTCTCAAGTGGGCTCTGTTTGCTAAAGGGAAGTGCACCTCATTTAAGAGAGGCTTCCTGACTCAGTTTTAGAAGCAAAAATCTTGCAGCTCTTTTAAGAGGCCCTGCCACCAAACACTTAAATGGTGTTTATAAGTAACCAATAGCACACTTCTTGGTGGTGGCAGGGACCTTGAAACTCCATAGAGTTTGGTAATAAACATGGCTGTAGCCAATACCTCCACTATTAGGCTGGATTCTCAGAAAGCTAAGGAATGGGCTGGATCTAGCTGTCAAAGCCACGGCTTTAATCCTAGTCCTATCGCTTAGCAAATTAAAGACTCATGTGGTCAGAAAAAGAGAGATACAGTAAAAATAGTTTCAGATTTAAAAAAAAGCTTCTAAACAATTTACAGTGTATTTAAAAATATATGTAGGCTTGGGAGAGAAAAGAAACAGAATAAAGTCCTTAAAATTAAAAAGAAAGAAAGAGAGTAGTTGGATGTGGTGGCACACACCTTTAATCCCAACACTTGGAAGACAGAGGTAGGCGGATCTCTGTGAGTTCAAGGACAGCCTGTTCTACAGAGTAAGTTCCAGGACAGCCAAAGTTAAACAGAGAAACCCTGTCTCAAAAAGCCAAACATTAAAAGTAAAAATAAAAGAAATAGAGTTTAAAATAAAGTCACATAAAGATGGAAAATACACAGAGTATGGATACAGAGAGTGTATTATGGTGTTGTCTTTGAATTGTATGACTGCTGAGGAAGGAGCAATAGCTGTTAAAAGACATTCGATTATAAACGCTGCTGGATTAATCCAACATACATATTTTAAAAATGCCTTGACTTCAAAATTTAATTTAAAAGGTATGTTACTTTGGAGAAGTTTTGCTTTTGTTTCCATAGGAAATGAGAGGCTGTGGATTTATTCTAGGCTAAGAAAAATCAGGTTTGATCAAGGAAGACCCCCCCCCCGAGAAATCTCCGATAGGAGCAGATGGCCCAGATGCCTGAGTTCTACATCCAGAACAACCTCAAGACTGCTGGCTGAGATGATCAAGCCTCACAGAAAACTCCAGTCAGGACTTGATCATAATTCTAACTTTTCTTTAGGTCCCTGTAAAGTAATAAGTGCCCCCAGAACACAGTCAAGCACAGTCTTTTTGGGTGCACGCTAACAGTGCATATTAATACAACAAGGACCCTGAGAAGCCCTGCAGCAGATAGACCTGCTCAACACACAAGTCCCTCATCTACCTTGCCCACTCCCCGTCTCCCACCCCTAATTCCACTGAATTCTAAGAAAGGCTGAAGAACATGAGCTATGGATTCAGTTGGCTCAAGCCACATTTAAGAGTCTTCGCTGGTTCCTTAGCTAAAGAATAGTTTTCCGGACATGAGCAAGGCCCGAGTGGCCAACCACGGATCTGACTGTGAACAGCTAATTCTCTGCCAAATGTCCTTAACATTCTGTGAGTAGCAGACATGTGGCAGAATCTCCCAGAGCCCAGGATGCGATGAACCTACCTGTGCAGCCTGCAAGCCCTGCTGAAACCCTTTGGACCCCTGACGTTGAGGCAGACTCAACACTGAATGAGACATCCCATCCCCCATCTGACCTGTGCTGGGGAATCCCAGAACACCGGCTCTCACATAGCCAACTAACCCTGTAGAGACATCTAAAACACAGCCCATCACACAGGATGGCCTTAGCAGTAGCTTCCAGTATCAATCACTACTGGCTGATCAGCCCAACTTTGACTTGCGCCCCCACCTACCCACACTCCACTCATGCATCAAACTTCCCCTCACGGCTTCAGGCACTAAAAATTTTTTTAGCGAGCTGTTCTTAAGCTACACAGGTTTCGGTAGAAAAGAGTTTGGAACACAAAACTAGCAAATCAAAGGGCGTGCTTGGCTTTGCCTTCTGTCTCTGTGACATCTTTATTTGACAGCTGCAGGCCCTCCGGCAGGAGGGCTGGAGCCCACGGTCCTGCCAAATGGCAACTTCTGCTGCTCCCTCCTCACCTGCGGTGGCCTGCAGGCTGTCACCTGAAGCCTTGCTGGCCTTTGTTCCCTTCGAAGGCTCCCCAAGCAGCCCAGGCACATGCTCTGCTGCCAGAGGTGTCACACAAGGAGCCCAGAAAGTGATATAAAATAAAAAGTGGATAATACGTGGGTGTCTGCTGGGGTGATGTGGATATGAGTCCTCTGTCCCTCTAAACTGTCCCCTCTCCCTAGAAAGAGTTTAACTGCTCCTACCTGAAGGCACAGAGTGTGGGCTACAGCCTCCCCTTGCCAGGGCAACTGTACAGTCCAGTAGCTCCCCCTGCCTCTCACTCTCTCCCCCTGCAGCCCTTCCCAGTCAGCCATGGCTCTCTGCACTTCCTGTGAGGTTTAGTCCCATGAATCCCTTAGATATGAGGAATTCTTTAAAAACAACCCTGGAAGGGGGCCTGGGGATGTGGCACAGTTTTAAGAGTGCTTGCCTAGCACGTGGAACACCCTGGGGTCTATCCGTCTATCCCTGTTTCATGTACACCATGCCTGCAATCCCACCACTCCGGAAGTGGAGACAGGAGGAGATGCTCAAGGTCATCCTTGACTATGTAGAGAAGTCAAGGTCAGTCTTTTCTACAGAAGACTCTTATTAAAATAATAATAATAATAATAATAATAATAATAATAATAATAATAATAATAATAAAAACAGCCCAGAAAATACAAGAGAATGATAGAAGAGATACAGTGAGCTGGGGTTGCACAGACTTGTTACATTGTTACCTTTCTGCTTCTGGAGAAACAAATGTATTCATATAGAATTCCACATTGAAATTTTAATTTAAAATTGAAATCAGAATGCATACATATGTGGGTGTGAATACACATAAACCTACAATATATGTATGTGCTAGTTTCCTACCTGACACCATTCTAAAATAGCTATTAGCACCTGGATATGGTGATACACACACAGGAGGATTGTCAAGAGTGTGTGTGTGTGTGTGTGTGTGTGTGTGTGTGTGTGTGTGTGTGATTCAGCTGTAATATAAACAAGTTTAGGCATTGCTTTGAAGACCCAACTTTTCTAATAAAGGGATAAAAGATTGAGACTAGGGTGCAGCTCAATGGTAGAATGCTTGCCTGACATTCCCAAGGCCCTGTGTCTAATTCCTAGTGGGAAAGGAAGGAAAGAGGGAATGGGAGGGATGGAGAGAGACGGAGGGAGGGAAGGAGAGAGGGAGGGAGGAAGGAAAAGAGAAAGGGGAGGGGAGGGAGGGGAGAAGAGTTAGCTAAATCCTCAGTGAGCAAGAGAAGGTCCCCAAGTAATGTCCCCTGCTGCTGGAGTTCACAAGAGCAAGCCTGCTTTACAAAGTGTTGAACTTGATTCTATTTAAGGCAAATCAGTCAGGCATGGTGGTGTGAGTTTGAGGTCAGGACAGGCTACACCGTGTTGGAGGCCAGGAGTGGATGAACAGAGAAAGGAAGCAGCCGCATTGGAATGGGGAGTTCAGTAGGGGAGCTGAATGTTACTGGCTCTCAGCAGAGCTGGTTTCTGAAGCACTGGGTTTTTAGCCATTCATCAGCTTCTGCACAGCCTGTCAGGCAACACAAGCGTCAGAAGCCAAGGGGTCAGATGTGAGGTAGGAAGCTGTAGAGCTTGGACGCCAGCCCACCTGCTGTTTCTATGGACCCAGCTGTGGATTTAATCACTAATCCTTCCCCCGCCCCATCACAAGGACACCCTGGGACCGGACCCAGCTTCAGCAGAACCCCTTTCTCACCCACTGTGTGTTGAACCATTCTTCATCAAGTCTCTAAAGTAAGGCCACGCTTCAAAGTACTGTGACGTGGGATAAACTGTCCAACCAGCCCAGGAACCACCATCTTCTCTTTCTGGAATGTTCTCTGTAAAAATCATTTCAAAAAAGATTCAACAAAAACAATGAATATCCTCTTTCACAACTCAGGTGTCCTGATTCTTTGTTTGTTTGTTTGTTTGTTTGAGTTTTAACTCTATCATTTTTTTTTCTTTTTCGAGGTGGGTAAGTGCATAAACGTGTAATTAATAAGGGATACACCCCCCAAGTGAAACATCATGGCTTCAGAATGGCCATTCTAACTGTACACGAGTTTATTAAGATGGATAGCGTTTGGGACTGGGCAGGTGTTTGTTTGAGTGGCTCTATTAATCTAGCTATATGATGTTTCTATAGGTGAGTTCATTGCAATAAAGTTGTTTTTATACTTAACAATCAGTTTTTTAAAGATGTGCTTGTTCCATAGGAATATCAATTCCTAAAATGTTCAGTAATCAAAGTCCACTTAAAAGAATTAGCGTAGTGCACATAACAGAATGTAAGTGGAGTGTCAAAAGGATGAATGAGATCGGTGAAGCCAAGACAAAAATAATCTCCAAGATGTACTATTTAGCTTTTGACAGAAGTCCAGTTGCCCTATGGGGACAAGGTCATCCCCTGCCTAGCAAGGAAGAGCTACCGATTAATCACCAGAACTAATGCTGGCAAAGCCTGTCCCTCGGCTGACAGCCAGGACCAAACGGTTAAGCACAGTGGGACAGACTTTGGGAATAGTTTTGTTCCAGGAAAATCAAAGCTATTTCCTTCTGAACAGAAACCAGATCGCAGTTGAAAAGAAAAAAAGGCAGGCATAATTTTTTTGTGTGTATTTATGCTTTTGGGGGATAGAAAGCCGTTGACTTGAGATCAAAGCTAGAAGTTTCTAAGCAAATGACATCTTTGGGAGGTGGGGACTCCTATGCATGTTCATGTATGTGCATGTGTGTGAAGGCAAACGACAACCTCGTGCCGTGTCCTTGAGTGCCATCACCTTGGTTTTATAAGATTTGCTTTTATTTTTATTTCCTATTTACTTATTTATGTAGATGTGTGTGTGTGTGTGTGTGTGTGTGTGTGTGTGTGCAGTGTGTGCACAGATACCCTCAGAGACCAGAAGAGACAGCAGATCATCTTCACCTGTAATTACAGGCAGTCCTGAGTGCTGGGAACCGAACTCAAATCCTTTGGAAGAGCCACAGAGTTTTTCACTCCCGCCCACTTCTTGGTGTTTGAGTAGGTGGCCAGCAAACCCCAGGGGTTCACCTGTCTCCACCTACTTGGTGCTGGGATTTCAGGTGGGTACCACCATGTCCATCTTTTTATGTGGGTGCTGAGAATTGAACTCGGGTCATCATTTATACGCAGAAAACACATGGCTATGTGAGGTATCTTCCCAACCTCCGGTTATCTTTATTTTCTTTTCTTTACATCTCTTTCATTTTAAAAAGTAATTGCAAAGCCCCATCCCTAGAAAGGACAAAGACAGAGAGCTGCTGTGTTAGCTGGGTCTAAATTTCAAACAGAAGTTTTGTACCCCCGGGGGGAGAATGAGGATGAGACCCTCGGCAGAAAGGGTGGCTTCTAGAGCAGACCTCTCCCTCTTGCTTGAATCCAGATCTTCTTGCAACTCTTCCGTGCTAAAAGTTCCAGGGCCACCTCAGCAGGCTGTGGCATAGACCTCCACACCCTCACCTTGGACTATGTATATTCTCTAATCCTTGACCAGGCAAACAGCTGTATGGACTAGAGATCGCATTTCTCAATATGTCTGCCAATAGGTATGGAAAATAGGTGAAGTCAGAAAGAAAACCAAGGACAGGTGAGATGACTCAGTGGGTAGCGGCACTTGCTGATTTCATGAGTTCAGTCTGGGGATGGAAACAGTGACTGGAGGTTGAGCAGCCCCTTGGGACCTACTACAAGACAAGCACTATAGAAACCTGGCGTCAATTAATCAAAAGATGAGCTGTGTGTGAAAGCACAAAACTACAGCTATTTTTAGGGTTGACTTTTGTTCCCGTCTTTTAAATGCAAGATCTCATTCTTGAAAAGACAAAACTGTGTTTTTGGAAAAACATTAATAGTTACAAAGGGCCTCAGGTGAGGGAAGGTATGGCTACAAATGGGGCAGCAGAAAAGAATTTGTAGGGGTGAAAAGGACAGACCTGTAACCTCCTTGTGCTGGTGTAATTCCATGAATGTATGATAAGACTCATACATCAAAAGCTCAAGTCTACAAAATGGTAACTTGAGTTCAATTTCAAAAGGCATCTTCTAAGTAATCAAAAAATAAGCAGGCCCATAGGGCAGTTCATCGCAAAACTAACAAGGGCCGTGTAGCCACTCCTTCCAGGTTCTGCCAGCGTCTGGGAATTGGGAATGATGACACCTACACCACTGAGCCTACTGGATCATTCGGAGATGGCTATGAAATGAGATCTTAGGTGGGGAGGGGTGGGGGCAAGCAACTGGTAGCAGTTGGATAACAGCAGATCACAAGGGCCATCGCATCCTGTACTGTGGCATTCTCTGTACATGGAGGCTCATGGGAGGCTTTCAAAGTGAACAAAATTAATCAGCAAAAGAGAAAATATGCTGCTTGTTCATTCTAACTAGCTGACCATAGTAATTCTCCCATCAACCCCCCAAAAATAGTGCAAGCAATATGATTTGTTTTCTATGCCTATCTGCCCAAAGACTCTCAGTGATTTCCCAAAGCCTAGAAGCAAGCATGGAGTTAGGGAAAAAGTGAGGACAAAGCAAGAGACATGCTTGAGATTAAATTCTCCACCAACACAGGGCAATGAGAACACTGACTCAATGTTGGGGATTAATGAGTAAATCCAAAATTGGGGTTTTCTTATTCATTTATGTTTAGGGATTGAGATTGGTGCTCATTGTCTCAAATTCACCCCCAAGTCACTCCTGATGACTCCAGAGAACCCTCCTCCCTCTCCCTTGCTCCAGGAGCAGTGCAGTTTATAACTTAGACCACTTCTCAACCCACCAAGGACTTGACCCACAGCCCTGAGAGATCCCATGCATGGCCAACTTGAAGCACCCTCCTTGCCTTGATTATCTACCACTGGGCCTTTTCCCCTCAATTCTAGCAGCTAAGAACTCAACCACTCTAACAGGAGAGAGCAACCCTCAACCATCAGAATCAAGAAATAGAAGGTGGTGCCGTCTAGAGAGATGTCTTATTAACTAAGAGCATTTCATTGACTGTTCTTCCAGAGACCCTGGGTTTAATTTCCAACCACATAGTAGCTAACAACTGTCGGGGGGATCTGATGCCCTCTTCTGGATGCTATGGGTACTGCATGCACACAGAGCACATGCATACAGATGAGTGACCTATCAGCAGACATAAAGTAGGAATAAAAATAAATAGGGAAAGAAAGGAGCAAGCACACTAGCTCCCCAGTGGGGTACTGGGAACTCCCAGCAGGTTCTCAGCAGGACTGAGCCCTGTGCCCACTTTAGCTACCAGCCGCATGCTGCCTGGTTTTCTTCCAGCTCCTTTCCACAGATTAAACCCACTGCTCCCAAGCCCTTATTTTAGGCTCAGCCTCCAGGAAAGCATCAGATAAGACACATAGCTGGATTCCTTCTTACTACTCCATCTCGCTCACCCCTTGCATCCTGAGAGCCAGCTCTAGAAACATAATTGGACATTTCCATCACATGCCACTGGCTGGAAAAACCAAAACCTCTTAACGTCAGTCACTAGACTAAGGCACTTGGGCTGTTTCTAATTGGGGGCTGCAGCTGATTTCTCTTTGCCACTTCAGGAAGCTTCAGGTTTCCACTTTGTCCATGCACACTCCTCCAGCTGGGACTGCCCAGGGCCCTCAGCTGGAACCAGCTGGTCCTGACCACCTTTTTTCTCTACTGCTTTGTGTGTAACAAGTTCCAGGGGGCTGGCGCTCTAAGCCTTGCAGCAGTCATCAGAGGGCTGGTAATGCTTTAACTAATGAAGGCAGTGAAAGGGCTGCCCAGAGCAGCCTTTACCCACATCCGACTCCAGCCTGGCACCAGGTGGCACCTCCTTCTCCCCTCCCTCACCAATCAGTTCCAGCACACCGCCTCCCCGCCACAACTGCTCAGGTTAAGAAGCATCAAGACGGAAAGTTGCCACTTGATTAGGATAAAAATAAAATAATCAAAATATGTGCCATGTTCCTCCTCTGAACAGATGGCCGGGGAGCTTGCCTCATAACACTGAGCATCAAAAATGAATCAGAGGCTCGTCTTCCCGCATAATCAAGAACTTGCTCACTATTTGTGCAAAAGCCAGGCGGGAGTTGGGGATGCTATCGGCGAAGGTTGAGAAATGATGAGGAAACCATCAGTATCACAAGCCACTCAGTCTGTGGGGTGACACTAGTGTATATCAGGCACACACACCCCCGTCAGTGTGTGCAGGAGCATATAAAATAAATGACAGATGTTTCAAGAGGGCCCGAAGCGACCCTTCATCACACTGCACCCATTAATGCTCTTTCCAAAGAAAGAGTATTTCCACTACTTTGTGCTTTTTATCTCATGGAGACATCCCAGTCTAGACACTTGTCACCTCACCCCAGCGACAACACCCAAACCCGTTGTACCAGGATTTATGTGTTTCCGTGTTTTCGCTCCCTCGAGCTCTTTGAAAGCAGAGATCATTTCTTATGTAACATGATAAGCCAGGGCTCAGCAAAGACCTAAATCAATGTTTGGTGAATAAATGAATAAAAATAATCAGAATTATTCAGGGGCTTTTAGTTCGTCTAGCTGCCTCTGCCGCATCCGTTCTATTCCACTGGGCCACCAACTTAAATCTTTTCAAAGCCTTCAATAAGACAGTTCTATCTATGTTATGAAATTATCTCTAAAATATATTGGAAAGTTAAAAAAGATACAGAATAATGTGTGCTAAAGACATAGATAATTAATTTAGAATGAGGGGAAAGAGATAGCACACACACACACACACACACACACACACACTCAATATTCCTGAGCTGTCCAAGGAGTACAAGAGAAAGTCACTCATGTGTCATC